ATCCATTATCTCTGGTCACAAATATTCTGTTTTCTAACAGGGAAAAAAAACAAAAAAAAAAAAGAAGAAGTGGGGACTTGATTGTGCTGTAGCCCCATCTGAAAAACTTTTTATCTTCTCTTAAAAAGATAGTTCCCAGGAAAAAAAGAAAAAAACAATGGATCTATTCTAAAGCAAACACCATCTGACTATCAGGAATTAGATTTTGACATGGAGAGACAAATATTTCAATCAAATTTTTCACAAATCTATATTATACATGGGACGTAACAAACCGGCTTGCATAGAGCGCAAAGGATTCATCGTCACAAACAGCATACAACTGTAGAAGACAAATAGACACTAATAATATTACACAAGAAATCCTTTTACTTCTTTTCACAATTGTACTTACTCAATGGACCGTGGCTCGATAAGCACTTTGAGATAATTATAATTCCATCTGGGGCTACTGCTTCAATTCATTCACTGGGCAATGGCTATACAAAATTTCGTGACCCAGTCGAGAGAGATTGCCTTGTGGAAAGATTAAATTTTTCATGGGTGGTTATAGTTTATATATTTGTTTGTGTATATATATCCTATGTCCACCCTGAAGCTGAAGCTGGAATCCCGTGCTTTTGGAACCACTCGGGCATGTGGAATCTTTCGTAGAGAACGGGCCGTACATCCTTTTGTAGAGAGAGCTGCTTGAGCAAAGGAAGGATCACTTCCAAAAGCTGTGTGTGTATAAACAGAAGTTAGTCGCTGACTTTTGGGGGATTTAGTTACAAAGCCTACCCCTAAAATTTGGCCTAATTATGCAAAATCCCAATTATATCTCGAAATTACAGACCGAGTGGATGATTTTGAATTTGTAATTAAATATTATTTAAAATATAATGATTAAAGTTGATGTGATGTAAAAGTATGAGAGAAGTTAATCAATGTGATAGGTAGTTAAAATTTATGTGAGTGGATAAATAGTGAATTAAAGTTGATGTGATGCGTGAGGATGATTGATTGATATTATTTAATAGTACTGATAATAATGAGTAGGGTTGGGTTGGGTTGGATTTTGAGTTAAATATTATAAAACAAAATAACCCAATCACCAAAACCGATTAATACCGATTTTGCCTCATATCCAAACGCGGCCTAACTTGGAAAGGGATTAAAAAAAAAAAAAAACTTGACCTCGAGGCAAGTTCTTGTAATGACCCATAAATTGAGATGAAGACTGGAAATATGAAGTTTTTGTAGTTTTTTTTGTTAAGGATGTATGGCTACCTGCTCATCGTGAGGTTGTCCGGGAGAAAATGGTATGCAAGGAATTCCGTTTGATGGTTGCAACAAGAAACTAAAAGGGTTATTATCGACAATGACTATTCGACAAAAATCCTTTGACAAGCAAGATAAATCCTTTACATGCTCGCGGTACTCCCTGTGATTTATGCAAACAAAGTTAGATGGCAGTAACATAATGAGTTGACCAAGTCAAAGAACACAATTTCAGTGAAGATACAACTCAACAACAAATATAACAGTTTGTTTTGTCTTGTCAATCACTAAACTCAAGCAGTTCTGGGATGAGCCTAAGGATGTATGCAAATCAAATGAAGCCAAAATATAAATCCAAGTTCAGTTGAATTTCACAATTTCTTAATGAAACCATTAATGGTTTTGAGCTCAAGTTACATCTCAATAATTGAAGTCTCAACAAAATTTAAATTACTTGAAGCAAAATCAAGTCTACTTTGTATTATGCTTCAAGATATGTATAGATAAGTCATACTTTTGTTCACATTGAGCTCAACCTCAAGCCTGACGTGTTGAAGTGCTCAAACACAAAGGTGTTCTAGTTTGGTTTGTTAATAATTAAACATAAATGCAACACTTATTTGCTAACAGTTGCTGGCTGCTCTGAATATAGTATTTGAGAAAAAAAAATAATGTGTTGACTTATTGCATATTCAACATTTTAATAAAAACTCAGCACCAGGTAAATATGTGAAATCAGTAATGAACATACAACAGGCGAGGGCCGGCTTTGAAAATATTACTGGAATATATTATGGCACATATATCTTTGTGATAATTATAAATCATACATGAAAGCAAATCTAGCTAATGATGCATAAAGAGATTGCTACATATGCCTTTCCAACAAGAAAAGGCAACATAATACAGGATGCTACACAACTAACTGAAATAATTAACACAGACTAAAAAAAATGAAATAAAATGAACAAATAATAAATCAATAAATTGGTGACCGCAACTCCAACAAAAATGTCAGGTAATCCTGAGGTAGACCAGCATTTTAACAGAACACTTACGTGCTAATTGTAGAAGGCCGATATAGTCTCCGACTGAATCTATTTTCAGCGTCTATTCTATCAACAAGAGGTCTAGCATAGCCTGCAAGAAACAGAAATTTCCACACACGCAACGTGTAAATATCTATCAATTGCAGCAGATATGAAGGGAAATAGGGCATCCTAAAGCACAAACCTTCGAGTCCGGCTGTAAATAATACAAGATCAGCAAATTCACTTAGTTGTTTTAGAAATTCCTTCAGTCCAGGGCGTTCAAACACTGTCACGTAGTTGATCTTCGGCTTGCCTTCGAGTTCCTTGAAATTCCACCCAGACATAGATAGTGAAAAAACATTTATCAGAGTTTGAACTGAAGTTACTTTTGGTTCGTCGTTGATGATTAACAGAATAGAAGATTACCTTGTCAGAGGAAATGCATTCTAGTTCAAACCATTTTATACCAGCCTCTGTGGCTTGTGTACGCAAGAGAGCTGGTAAGCTTGATGTCTCATATGCACAAACCAGAGTTTCATCTAAATCAAGAACCACCTGCATGTAGTAATTGGATGAAGAATACCTTAGTGATTAGGTTAAAAAAAGCTTTGAAAAAACAAAACCATTTGGCAATTAACAACCTAGTGCTAATGAAATAAATAGTTCTAAACAACATGCACTCAATTGATGTGTTCTTGAACATTCTTTTTTATGCATCTACTAGACTCCGACAGAAGGTAAGCAACAACAATCAGGTCAAAAGTAATCTTCCTAGTAAGGAAATCATTGTGAAGTCCTATTCCGAATTGGTTAGCATATTGAAATTCTAGAAAATATAGGTGCACTCAGAATGGACTTGTATCGTGGTATTATTGCTCCAGAAAATAGATAAATTGTGAGTGCAATCCTGTCATCTAAGTAACTAAAAACCCACGTTTGCATACACTTTCATATTTTGTATTTTGTATTAATGTTTAAAATGATCTATGGGCTTATACAAGGAGCTGTTTTGGTGCTCATTGCATACATTAGCTCTCTGTCTCAATCAACAACATTTCAACACTTGAACTTTAAGATTACAGATACTTTCTTCTATCCACTAAAAACGAAAACTGCTATCCACCATACTTAACACTATAAGCTCTATGGATAAGTGGGCCTGTGCAGTTGCTACCTCTCAACAACAATGCTTTAGTGGAAGTCTATTTACACCCTTTCACACACAAAAAATCATTGCAAATTTATTTGCAACAGGCAATAGTAATACCACAATTAAATTTTATTATCATTTTGAATGTGCCCCTCTGCTTAGTATATCGACACAACTGAGTTACCAGATCTATCTGACTCTTTTCTTACTTACAAGACATCCCAGAAGTTATATTCTTGTTAATATAGTGACAACAGAAACATAGGACTTGAACACTAGACACACATGTTGACGAAATCCAGTCACAAAATACTCCTCCAGCCAAACCAACGGTATGTCTAGGCCAATAGTTCGAATTTTTAGAATAAAGATCACATCTTGGAACAAAGACAGCATTAGACAATATTTTCCATTTCATTCCTAGTTACCAGTAGTTAGAACTCTAAACTCCAAGCAAGGATTAGTCCTTTTCTCTTTAGTAAATAAATAAAATCCATGATTAAGATGGAAGATGCAAATCAAACTAGACGATTCACCAAATCCCTCTTGTTTCTCGATCCAAATTTGGAACAGAACTATGAATTCAAAACATATTAGTTGAATGATGAATCTCAGTAGCTTGTATCAGCTTCCTTTTAGGTATCACTTACTAAATTGGCTGAACAAACTAATCAACAACAAAAATCCACGGAAATCACTTGGCAAAGTCAACAAGAAACAATTTGAGCAACTAATAAGTTTGCGCATTTATCACACACTAACCAACCAAATTTATATATATTTAAAAATTTCACACTCGGAAACAGGTCAAGATACCGTTAGCTTCTCCAGAGGTGAAGGATCCATCACCCTCTCCCCACCACCGGAGACCGGAACGGCGACCAGATTCGATCGCCGCGGAGGCGGCGCCTCTTCCGGTTCCTCCCCGAACTCCGACAGCTCGACCACCGGCAGGGGCTTGAACTGCGGCGGCGCGTGTTGAGCAGACGAGATGAAAGGCCCTCCTTGGCGCAGGCCGACATAGGAGAGGACCTGATTAAACGACGGCGTCCCGCGGAGGATCTGAGAGAAGATCTGGAAGAAGAACGCCATCCAGTTGAGCAGTGTCCTCCACACCTGTATCGTCCGCGGCGCGTACACCTCAGCCGCTGCCAGCTCCTCCATAGCCAGAGTATGCACGGGCGGTAACGATCACCGGATGCAGGCTCCCGTTCGCCGGGGTTAATCACCGTCGTCTTTGTGTCGGCTCGTCTACCGGCCACTGGTCAGCGTGTGAGTGTATTCAGTGTGTGTTGTGCGCTTTTTTCCGAGGCGGACGGAAGAATTCGATCGAGGTCGGTATCTCTGATTGGTGATTTGTGGAGAGATTAAGAATAAAAAAGGGAATCGTGAGAGCCACGCGTGTAGGCAGAGAGTTGGGATAAGTGGACAAAAAGAGTAATTAATTATGTTAGTACAGTTGGAATTTGTCCTTTTTGTTTGTGTTTCTTTGCTTTTCCTTTTCAGCTTCTCCATATTCTAACATGGCCAAGGGCCGCCCGACCGTGGACCCGAACCGATTAAACCCGTTGACCATAAGTCGTTTCAGGGTCATCAATTTTCATGACCTGGCTCGGATTGATATCCTGTTTTTTCTATTTTTTTATTTTTTTAAAATGACGGACTCGACCCACACGGTTAGACCGGTCAACTGGGCTATTGCCCGGCACGAGTATAGATCCGTACCGGGTCCGGGTCGGTGTTTTAGAGCCCGGTGGCTCATCGGGCCGGGCCAGACCGTAACCCAACCCAAGTTTTGTCCACGTCCATATTCATGCCATTGGGTTTAAGAATCATTCATTTACCTTTCACTGTTTTTCTGTAGATATTTTCTTCTTTGATTTGTTTTCCCTTGCAAAATGCAGAATTTCTTTTGGGCATTGTGAACTTTGTTAGCAAACATGAAAAAGTCAGGTAATTTTATTTTTTTCAACAAATATACATTCTTTCTTTCAAATTGAAATATTCAACTTAAAAAAATATTATAAACAAAAATATGTCATTTCATAATATAAATATGCAACTTTCAAAAATATATTATGACGGGTCGAGACTCACGGTTAGACCGACCTTATACAATAATTTGTGCATTTTATAAAAATAGTTATATTGCAACAATTTTCGCTAGCTAGGCCAACTTTTTAATTGGACGAACATACTTTAGTATACTCATTTTCATTAATAATAGTGATGCTTCAAGGAATAAAATAAATAAGGACAATGCTACATGTAAAATTATAGTTTTTCCGTGTTTTATAAAATTTTATTGAATCAAATTCTAAATATACATTTATTTGCATCCCAATTATGTACATCATTCCACGTCATGTTGTCATGGAATATCTAAAAAAAATAAAAAATTCCAAGTAGCTTTTCCTATTAAGTATTGAAAGATTAAATTATCATTTATCATGATCATCTTTCAATTACATTTAATGATTCCAAGTCATTTTAGCAAGTTCCATTAGGAATCAATGCTCAAAGTACATATTTAAACAAAAAAAAATAAATAAATTTTTTGAGTGGTGTAATTTATTCTCTCTTTTCTTTTCTATTCTAACAAAAAATGGTGTTGCCATTCCCACATATATACTTGGTTTTTATAAACTATCTTAAAAAATTAAACAGATTACATAGAGGAAAATAAATAAAGTATGAAGGATACATAATAGTTACTCAGAATAAACAATATATAAATATATAATTTTTAGGAAGACAAGAATATTCAATTATCCTTTTTTTTTTTATATAGAATGACGCTTATTTGTAAATTGAACATATGATTCATAAGTATAGGAATTAGGAAGAGACCAATCCATTGATTAAGTCGTTGATCCAAGTTCAAAATCCAGCCCAAGTTGGAGATGAATGAAGACAAATGCCAATTTGATTAAGGGACATTTTATTTCCTACTTTGGTAGCTTTTTTTTGACTTTGTAGATCCCTAGTTAGTTGTTCATCTTATCCACTAAATATTAGTGCAGTTTCAAGTCTGTATCAAAGAGAAGGAAAATGCTAAAGTTATGTTACGTAGTTAGGGCTACAAACGAGTTGAGCGGCTCACGAATCGCTCGCGAACGCTCGAGTTGAGCTCGAGCCTTTATTTATCCATTCAATATAACATACTTTTCTTATCCAATAGTGGAAAACGCTGACGGTATCGTCTCGTATAGGGCTGCAAACGAGTCGAGTCGAGCCGAGCATTGACCTTATGGAACAGGATTAAATTTTATTTTTAGCTGTTCGAGCTCGATTTCAGGCTCTTCGAGCTCAATTTATGAGGCTCGAGCTCGACTTGATAAGAAAAATACAATAGCTCGAGCTCGTCTCGAAATCAAATGTTCGAGTTCGGCTAAAAAATTTAAGTGAAATTTCCATTAGGCACTTCTAGAAGGAGAGAGCCTTTTTGTTTAATGCATTGGAGTCTACCGTCAAAAAAACATATAAAAAGCATCCTCATACAATACAAAGACTTTGATTTCAAATTTTGAACGTAATTTGACCGCCTCCAATTTAATTCTTTCAATCTCTCTCACTAATTCACTTTCCAATTACAAGAACATTTCAATTTGAATAATGAAAAAAACCAATTAATTACCAATGCTGGAAAAAACAGCTTTGTACCAATATAAAAATACACAGGCCTATAGTTAGAATCATCATACAGATCACACAATGTATTTTGGATCAACTACAATCTATCAAATTGAAGGTAAATAAAAAATGTTTAGACCTCATGAATCATATGAGCATGATAACCAAGGGTGATCCAATGCCTCTCTCGCGGTGGCTCGTCTCGTGGGATTAATCTCGAGCAAATGTGTTAAGAAGTCGAGGAATATGTAATCCGATATTTGCAGGTGGTCCTTTAATGATGTCTGGTTCGCGATAATGTATTCAACTTGTTTCGTGTCCTGTTAAATCGTAGGGGAAAAACAGTTCGTAAATTATGATTTCATCGAACTAGATTTGCTCGTGTAATAACCAAATAAAATGTACAAGAGACTTACTTCGTTTATTTGGTACAAATCGTATTCTTCTGTAAAATACTTGTGTGTGTCTCGGCCATTTCGCAGCATATTCGTGTCGATAGGACCAAGCATCCCAATCATTCGTGCAAGAAGCATTCCAACTGGCTCGTTCGGAAAAAGCACCTGTCAGATCGTAAAAAGGATTTTTTTTTTTTTCATAACCGACAAAAAGTAAAAAGTAAAATCTCGAGGATAGTTTTCGAAAATATTTCAAACGAACCTCGCCAGAATAAAGTTCGGTCAAAATGCACCCAACCGACCACAAGTCAATCTTGTGGTCGTAAGGGAGGCCTAACATGACTTCCGGAGCTCGATATGATCGAGATTGTACGTACAATGACAGGTCATCTGTCTCCAAACAACTGCTGCCGAAATCAATAACCTTAATCTCACACGTTTTGTAGCTTTTGATAAGTATATTTTCCGGTTTAAGATCACAATGTATAATCCCCCAGTCGTTCAAATATGCTAACGCCTCTAAAACTTGTCTGGTTATGACCTGCATCATCCACAAAACATCGTATTTTTCTAAATTAAAATGTCAAAAAAAAAGGGGTAGAGCACGATTTTTCATTACCTGCAGATTTCGGAGAGTAAAAAAATACAGCTCGTCACCAGATTCTCGATTGTATTTCTGGAATTCATAAAGGTTTGCGTACAGAAGCTCGGTAACAATGAATAAATGCTCCTGCCATTTAATTTAACACCACAAAACTCAATTTTTAACCACTCGCTTGATTTGTTTTGTATCGTAGTTCGTTAATACCTGATGGTAGAAATAATTGTAAAGACGTAAAATGTGGCGCTCGTCTGCCGGATCACGGTAGTTGACAAATTTCAGAATCTTGATCTCATCCAAGCTTTGATCGAGAAAATCCTTATTGTTGTTAATGATTTTCAGACAAACATCAATCCCCGTGCAAAGATCGTGCGCCTGCACGACTCGGCTGAAACCGGTCGATCCTAGGAATTCCTCGACATGATATCGGCCAGCTATTACACTATCTAAAACTATAGGGAAATCCGTGTTTTCTTCAAAACCTGTCCTGTTAACATCATAACTAATTAAATAATCTTTTTCAAAAAATAAAATGTGGAGAAATCTAACATTGAAGTTAATTGCAATTTGCAAGGTATAAATTAGAAACAAACACTCGTAACAAACCTGTTTTTCCTGTGTATAATTCTCAAGTCGAATATATCAAATTCTTCTTTGATTTGAATCTGCTCGTTACATTTATCGAAATCACTAAAGTGTCTTTCTTCTTCGAGTGACTCCAGTTCATCACAATCTTCGTAAGTTTTGTGGTTTGAATGGTTAGTGCATTTTTCAGACATTTCGCGTTGGTCGTCGAAAGTTTGACCCGTCTGCACGGACATTATAAACTTATCTGCACTCGGGTCAAACAGGTCAAACTGCATATCCGAATCGAGGTAATTTCGAGCCGTGCCAAATTGGGACAGTCTATCGGACGAGGCATGAGAAGCTGGCCGCCTGATACGAACACCGCATGGATTCGCAAAATCTGTTAAGTTAATTCCAATAAAGACAAAGATTAGGCAAAATTATTCGCCGAAACAAGCAAAATTCGAATGTCACATTATCATGATATTACAAAAAAGGAAACCACATTTCATCAAATTAATAAAGTAGAGATAAAACAAAAACTAAAAATGGCATAAAAGATCACAAGACCAAATTCTACAGAAACATGACAGAAGAAAAAAAAAAGTTATCTTTGAATTTCATATCATAATGCATCAAATTTACTCGGTCGAACATGAATCGAGTTCTAGTAGGTAATATCTCTACACATGAGCTAAATGTATTATAATTATGATATCGATCGAACTCAAACGAGCTTATTCCACCATTCTTCTCAATGTCAGATTGCAGATAGAGTAGCTTGGCTCATTCTTTAGCCATAAATCTCAAAAAAAAGAAGCAAAACTATAAGAAACAGAGGAAGAAAATGAAATAACTACCGGCAAAAGATTCGCTAGTCGAAGAACTCCAGCTCACAAACTCATCATCAGACAAACCCTTTGAGCCGACATGATCGAACGATTTATCGGGACCATCAGAAGCAGAGTTTTTGTCTGTGATATCCTCCATGAGAGCTGATATGCACCCAAAGAAGCCATTTTTCCTCAAGAACTCCAAAACGGCCTCAAATTCAACCTCGGCCATAATAAATTGTGAAAAATAAACCGAAAGACAAACAATGGAGAGGCATTTTATGAGAAAATTAAATTAAAAAAGGGGTGATAAAGTGAAAGTAGTAAAGAATTGAAGGTGAGTTCATGGGATTCTTGAGTGGGGATATAAT